ATAGGTTCATTATGCACATCTAGTGCTTGTTGTCTTAGAGTCATGCGTGCTGGGAATAGACGTGATAAAGCATCAGGTAGAACATTGAGTACTCCTGGTCGGTAATGCACCGTAAATGAATATCGTAATATTACGTCCTGCCAATTAGTCATCATGGCATTCATATCAGGTTGAGAATGAATAAACATTAATGCACGATGATCTGTGTACAGATCGAAATGTCTACCCCATAAATAGTAGTGGAATTTGTTAAGAGCAAAGACAATGGCCAGGAGTTCTTTCTTTGTTGCGCTGTATTTTCGTTCGCTTTGATGTAGTGATCGTGCCATGAATGAGATATAATTTATATCTTTCGGATGATTTATGCCTCGGGGTAATTGATACAGTACAGCACCAATCCCAACATCAGATGCATCCGTCGCGACGTAGAACGGGTGATTAAAATTGGGGAAGGATAATACTGGTGCATGAGTAAGCAGGGACTTTAAGGCATTAAAAGATTGTAACTGGTCTTCATTCAATGTGAAAGTGTCTGTTCGACATCTCAGAGCATCCAAGGGTGCAGCAACTTCACTAATGAGTGGTATATATTCGCGGAAAAAGTTGAATGTGCCTAAGTACGATTGAATTTGCTTAGCAGTAGTTGGAGGCTCCCAATCATCGATATTTGCGAATTTAGAGGGGTCAACACTTTTACCATGCAGGCCTATTATGAAGCCGAGCAATGAAATTTGCGTACTGTAGAAATTACATTTACCACTGTTGATGATTAACTTAGCATCGTTGAGACGGATAATCACAGTGCGTACATGTTCGGCATGTTCCTCTCTGTTCTTTGAAAAAATAACGATATCGTCAATGAAGTTGTAGACGAAAGGAAGATCACCAAGAATGCGAGACATTCCTCGTTGAAATAGACTGGACAATGGTTTCAAGCCAAAAGGTGCCTTCTTAAACATGTATTGTTTACCCTGATGCATAAACGCTGTTAAGGGTTGATCTGCTTCATTAATTGGCATGCGATGATACGCTTGTGAGAGATCAATAGTTGTAAATATGGCATGACCAGCGAGACGAATAATAATATCATTTATAAGAGGTAATGGATAGTTATCATCTGGTAGATGTTTGTTTAAGGGTCGAGGGTCAAGACATACTCGCCATAACGTTTTATTGCCATTTTGGTCTTTCTTTGCTGTGAGTGTAAGATTATTATTGTGCACATTGCCTACAGGGGCAAGTGTGATAACGTCATCTATCAACCATTTTTCTATGGCTTCATTGAGGATGGACATTTGTTTTTCAGCAAAAGGATGTGATCGCCTATAGAGGACTGTACCCTCTGGGATTGGTAAAAATACTTTCATTTCCGGTACGGGGCATGAGCTCTGTTTAGGTATCCGGGCATTGTCGACTAGTGGACGTGAGATCTTTTTCATAAACACTTTTTTCTCAATGATAAATGTTTTGGTATGCTCTTCTTCTGGTATAGAATCAGGGATGAGGGAGGGACGTTTATCTTCCTCAGGTTCGGGTAACTGGATAGCATCTTGCCCTGGATTGTGGCAGCCCGAGAGTCCAAATCCAAGCTGATAAAATAAATCCATCCCTATGATAAAGGGGTATGATCGATTGATCACTTCTAATGTTGCCGATACGATTCGGCTGCCATATGCGAGTTCTATATTTTCTACCACACCTATACGGGGAATAGTCAGGCTCTCATCGGCTAGAGTGATAACACCTGCAACAGGAGAGATTTCTTTGTTATGTTTAAGGATAATATCTTTTCGGATACACGTAACACTCGCGCCTGTGTCAACCAAAGCTTCATATTTTTCCCCTTCGAAGTTAACAAAAACAATGATTCTTTTGTCAGCCCTCTCTTGATTGAGATGGAGTTGGCTAAGATATGGACATCATCGTTAGGGATAACATTCGAGGAAGATAAAGATGAAACTCTTATATGAGAAGGTGAGTGTATAAATTCAGATTCGAGAGTAGCAGTGACGCATTGATCATGCCATGACAATATTGTGGGGCTGATTAACTCCATAGAGATTCTAGGCTGGGTGCCAAAGATCATTAATGGTGGTTTCGTGAGAGAAGGGTTTTGATATGTTTGAGCATAAAATGATAAATTTAACAGATTTTTGGGATGTATTGAAATCTCTTTTTTATTCTTTTCTATCGAATGAGCTTCGTTTAAGTCATCGAGTACTTGAGGTGGACTTGTTGAAACCTGTGTATTAACAGTAGAATTCGACAGAGTGTTATTAAGGACTGTTTGCTTATGCAGTGACATGTTATAATTAGATTTAGGACGATCCTTACCAGACCTATTATTGTTTCTGGTACATTCGGATGCCAGATGGCCTCGTGCATTGCATTTTGCACATTGTTTGTATCCATCCGTATTGTGGGAGGAATTTTTGCCCCATTGCTGGCAATCATGGAGGGGTTTTGACTTAGCCTCCTCATTGTAGGCTTTGCCCTTAGGGTTAAATCTTTCCTCAGATGCTCGTGCGCGGCGCATTGGACCTGTGTCACGGCGATGAGGTGCAGGATTATCATCGGTAATAACCTCTTGCGGGATGTGGGGACCAGTAAGACTTCCCAAAATCTTTGTAAATTCTGAGATTGACTTAAAGGCGAGCACCGGTTCTTGTTTCAGGAGTGAGGGCAGCACGCTCGGGGGTGTGAGGAGTGGTAGTAGGGTTCATGTTGGAAGGTGAGAGAGAGGTTTTTTTTTTTTTTTTTTTTTTTTCTTGATAATGGATGAGATGTGTGTGCAAATCTTCACTTAAAAAAATGAAAAATATTTAGACAGTAGTTATCAGAAGCTAAGATAAGTGAGAATAAGATGTGGGTCCACACACCACATCCATGGGGTATTTATTCATTTTCTGGTAGAGAGACTCGTACCAAGTAACTACATATCTATCTAGAAGCGACATGGGATTATTCAGGAACCATGTCGTGTTTTGTCGCGTCTCTAGTGACGCGTTATTATTACAGTGGTCATCAAAAGTCATTCAATGATTTTGAATTTTTAACATTCTCATTCCTTTTCTTCATTCTCATCTAGCATGTGGCTAGTATATTTGGGGTAGTGCATTTGTTCCCCACACCTCATGATTACTTTCATGTCTCATTCCTAATTATGACTTCATTGTGAAATAAAACCAATTTCAATTTGACCTGCCTATTGAATGACTTCTGCTGAATTTCAATGTTGATTGCAAAAAAAACTTTTTCACTTCTCTTTTTTCTACCAAGATTACCTTCAGCTATATCTTCATACACCTCTACTTACAATTAACATTCCACATCGTTTAGTATTTATTATGAGGACGCTTTCTATGGAAAAGGTACAAAATGCTCAGGCCTTACTTCGACAAGGGAAGTCTACAAGCGAAGTGGCAAGGCAACTTGGTATCTCTATTCATCGGCAATAAGGATCAGGAGGGACGTCAAGGACAATATTCCTAAACCCAGAATGGGCAGACCCTCATTGGTTTCCCCTGCTACCAAGAGGGTTATTGCACGCGAGGTTGATACGGGGAAACTTAGATCCATTCTGGCAGTTCAAGAATACATCAGATCGAGCCATGGAGTGCATGTCAGTGTAGAGACTGCCCGACGCTATGTAAAATCAGAGGGTTTGAAAAACTATGTCCGCCCATTCAAGCCTAGGCTGACAAAAATGCAGATTGCGAAAAGGAAGAATTTTGCCCTCAACCACCTTGACTGGACTGTTGATGACTGGAAGCGAGTGATGTTCTCGGACGAAAAGCTTTTTGAAAGGCTAGGGTCCTTAGGAGGAAGAACACAATATAGGCGACCCGGCCACAGGACTTTAGAAGATCGAGATGTTAGAGAGAGATCAAGGGGAGCACATAATAAACTTATGTGGTGGGGCTGTATCACTTATCATGGTGTAGGCGATGGTTGCAGGATCCCTGTCACAGTTGATTCCTCTTTATATGTTGATGTTCTACAAGATTATGTCCTCGGCTCATGGAAGTGGTATGGCCAGGACCCTGAAAAGTTAATTTTTCAGCAGGACAATGCAAGTGTTCATACGAGTAGGATGGTTAAAGAGTTCTTAATTAAGTCACACATTACCACTTTGGAGTGGCCTCCAAATTCTCCTGACCTCAACCCTATCGAGAATGTATGGGCCTACATGGATCATCGGCTCAAGGGATATGAGAAGGTACCAAAGGATCCGGATGAACTATGGGAAAGACTACAGGATATCTGGACATCTATTCCACCTGACTTCCTTGATGAGCTATATGAAAGTATGCCACGAAGGGTAGAGGAGCTACATCGCATGAAAGGATCTCGTACACATTGCTGAAGAACAGAAAAAAAAAACAAATAAAGCAAAGCTGCTGATTTTCTTCAAATGTCATTCAATGAGATGCCAATAATTGGCATTCATCTAAATTTTCAATTAGCAACAGGAGCTCATTGACATTGTAGTAGGAGTGACGTTGTCGATGGTCAAACTCGCTACGTAAGTTTCATTAGCGACAAGCAAGATCAAATTGGAGAAAGGAATGAGAATGTCGAAATTCCTAATTCATTGAATGACTTTTGATGACCACTGTAGCCTTGAATTAAATGTTTAACGTGTAGTTAAGGTGCGAAAACAAAGATTCTGAAGCAATAGAGAGGAAAATGTATGTATATAATTGTATGATGGATGATGGGAATAAAAACGCGTGTACGTAATTTTATTTTTAGTGAGCACATCCTATTGCCACTCTTTTTTTTTTCTCACACATCCATCTTTCTTTCTTTCATCCCTCTTCCTCTAAGCATTTCTCTTTCAATCTTCACATTAACGCCAACATTCTTGCTCAGTTCACTTTAATCAAATTCGCTCTTGCTGATTTACTGTCAATTACTTTTTTTTTTTTTTTTTTTTTTTTTTCAGTATGCAATTAAACCAAGATGACTCAAAAAATTAAGCTCTTTTGTATTCTCGACGGCGACTCTTCCGCATTTGAAGTCCAAGTGAATGCTGATGACTCAATTGCTGCTCTCAAAGATGCAATCAAGAAGAAGAACGAACCTCAATTCGACGACATTGCAGCTGGCAAATTGAATCTCTTCCACGTCTCTGTTCCTGATGAGGGCGCTACAATCAATCTCGCCAATATTGAATCAAAGGAGCTACTCACCAGAGCAACAAGCAAGATCTCAAAGATATTCGGCATATCGCCTCTGCCTGAGGAGACTATCAACGTCATTATTCAGCGGCCATCACAAGGTAGCTCTTGATGGGCTGGCTACTGATATTTTCAGCCAGATGGAGCTTAAACTCCTGTGCATGACGTCATTGATCAACATTACTGTTCATGCTAACATGTTTATTTATTTTATTGCTGTTGCAATTGTTAGGATCCTTTGCAGGTACGAGTTCTCAAGTCAACAGTAAATGAGTCTATTTCTCAAGTAGACTTTCAGCATCGCAGATGCTCTGTATTCATTCCTTGGGTCTTTTGATTGAGTTTGCACACCCGGAGCCTATTCCTAATGCCCTTTCTTTTCTTTTTTTTTGTGGTTGTGGATTGAGTCAATTTCTCGTTTAATCTTTTGCTACATGCTGCAGCTTATTCTAACGCCTTTTCTTGAAACATTATGGATACTTAGGTCCAAGAGCTTTAGAACTAAATGATGAGGATGGTAAGAGATTTGTCGGGTTATATTACGGGTTATATAGCACATTAGTTTTTACGGCATATTAACATTGTCCGTCACATGTCATATCTAGAGAGACTCTGGCTTGAGAGAATCAAGAAGGAATTCTTCCAGGGAAAGGTCAAGCAATTCCTAGAATCATACGCCAATGGTGACCTTAAACTTCCACTGACTGGGGGAGTTGTGTCAGGTCTTCCGAAAGTCCCTAGGAGAGGAACGCCAAGCGAGAAAAAAGAATGGCCAAGTCTTCTTCTCCTTAGCCCATCGACATCTCTCAATAACACTATATACCATCCATGTGAAGAGGCAATCAAAAAAATTTATGAAGATGATCCTCGTCAACTATCATTGTTTGGAGTTAGTGGTTGCGGGAAGACCAGGACTGTCATCGAGATTCTTTCCCAGAAATGGGGCATCTATTTGAACGCCAGCAGCACCGATAGAGGATCCAATGACTTGACATCGCTTGCTAAGTTTATGCAAGAGGCAAATTTGGAACGGTTATATAATAATCAAGATAAGGCAGAAAATGGCCTTAACACACAAGCAATCACGCACTGCCTACTCCTGTCAAGACTACTGATCTTCCAACACTGTCTGGGATTGAACAAAAACCTAACTTGTGAAAGCTTGATGCTCTTGCAGGTTTGCCCCTCAGCTTTCAGCAAGGAGGTACCCGATATTTTTGACAAGCTTTTCAATACTATAGCCGCAAGCTTCCACAGGGGAGGTGTTGGAAGAGGGAACGTATGCCGTGTCGTTCAAAAAGCTTTTGAACAAGTTCAAAGTCAACTGAATCCATCGACCAAAATTCTGATTGTAGTTGATGAGGCTCAGAATTTCAGCCGAGTATTTGAGAAACGATTCCAATCGAACCTACCCGATAGCAGACCGAGGCCATTACTATCGCCTGTAGTCCATGGCCTTGAAACAGTAACCACGGATTCGCAACATGTTTGTATCATTCCGTGTGGGACTGGCCTTAGTCTTAATGACCTTCAATGGTTGGAGGATTCTGGCGCAGAAGCCAAAGGTACCAAGGAACCGGATGGAGGTCAATCCTATCGTATCACCAATTTTTCTGGATGGAGTAGTATAGCACAAATCACCGAATACTTAGAGCGTCTTAAAGATCAAGTGACTACAGGTCGTGAAAAAATCGATGAAATGATACCGCCAGCTGCAGTCGATACGATGTACCGACTCCTCCGAGGCCGATTCCGACCCATTATCAGCGTGATCGAGGGAACTATATGGAAGCACAATGCGATCGAGGAGACTAAAAGGGAGCAAAATGAGCCAGGATCTCAAGAAGAGCCAATCTGGATGAAGGAGATAAAGGACGTGCAACAAAGGCTAACAACTTGCCCTGATGATTTGAACCAGAGGAAAAGGGGGAACTTATGCTCTGACTTTCATCACGCTATGAAGGCGCTTAATGTGGAGAAATCTGAGATGCTCTATCTCGTCAAAGTAGCACTTGTTCGCATGGTGTTATTTGGAGTACAAACTGTTATCGCTAAGGAACTTCCCCAACTTGTAGAATCGGCGCTTGGTAGGATGGAGTTTATCAAGTCAAAATCGCCAGAATATCGTACAGTGATCGACGAACCATTTGTGTTTCTTGCAGTCCACAATTACTTTCAAAAATCAGACCCTGGATTTCACAACATGATAGTTACCTTTTGGACATTCACTAAAGACTCCAAAATACATGGAAAATTTTGGGAGTGTCAAGTTCCTTTGAGCTTGATCAACATCTTCCACAACAAGACGCTTGCGAAAAAGATGTTTCCAAAAAATGCACCTCTGGATCTGGTTGATCACGAAGCCACCATAGTTGGATGGAAAAAATCCCGCATTGGAGCTGATTGCAGTGACTTGACTATGGAGCAATTCTTGGAGGCCCATTTCGACCATGATTCGAGGATTGATAAAAGAGAGATTCCTCCATTTTATTTCCCCACGGACGAAATCACTGGTCCAGACATTGTGTTTATTCTCAAGATCAACAAAAAGATGTACCCCGTATTTGTCCAGCTCAAATTCGTGAAGAAGCTTGATGGTATGAAAGCAGCACACGCCTTAGAGACAATTAGCCGCGACGCGATCAATGTACACCATTTGCCCAACTTTGACCGCTTTTGCCCTCCGAATGAAAGGTATCTTAGCTTGTTGTTAATGTATCCTGGAAAATTGTCAGATAAAAATAAGACCATGCATCCCCCAGATTCAAGGCAGGCTCTAATGGTGATAGATGAGGGCAACATTGCCGAATACTTTCATGAGAACGAGATTGAGCTATTGGATTCCATCAAGAGAAGTGGAGAGGCAATTGAGCATGGAAGAGAAAAGAAGATCAAATCCAACGAGCAAGAATCGTCCTTAACACTGCAAGATGGCGACTAATTGTTTTCAGAAAATAAAAAAAGCTTATTCATTCACATAAACGTTTGTAACAACCCAGTTTATTTTGTTGAACTCTCTTGGTGCGGAGATCGCACCTTCTTGGAAAACTGTGCGTGCTCTTCCAGCGTGTGAGTGCGCATCACAAATGATCCTCCTGCACTCTCACAAGCCTGGGAAAGGTCATCCTTACTCATCTTGAACACAGTCCTCCTCGTAAGCTCTGTTGGCCCCGTGGGATACCCAGATGCAGGGATCTAGCAGGCAGAGCTCGAATATCTCTGGTACATGATGAAAAAAAAAAAAAAAAAAAAAAAAAAAGCAGGTTAAAAGTATGATTTGGAGCAGAAAGAAGCAGAATGAACCTCAATTTATAATCGCCATGGTCTGTCTCATTACATTCCGGACAGTCAATGGACCGATCAGATTCGACGATGTTAATAAAGTCTACTATGTGGATCCTGCGGACCATGACAAAAATAAGGAAATACTACAGAGCGTTTTTCGCCGCGATTTAGTGATGCTCATAGGCGCACGTGCCTCTGGAAAAACAACATGGTTGTATCGACTTATCACCCAATTAACTGACTTTGGGTATCGCTGCCTCCCGTAAGCCAACTTCCGCGAAAATGGATAAAGTGGATGCAATGTATGCGCTATTGTACCGGTACTGACCTTATATTTTTCATTTAGACTATCATTTGAGGAAGTTAACGTTCGCAATAATGAGTCTGTTTTCTGGAGAACTTTTGGTGATGCGAGACGTACACTCGAAGTCAAATGGGTATGTTTTTTAAGCTTAGTTAACTCTCCACGAGTTGATGTGCCATTCTAATACAATGAATTGTGCTCAATGTCAATAGTCATCCAGGAATGATTTGTCTTTGTGGACGCTCCATTCATGAGGATCTTCGCTCGAAAGTCAACGGCTCGACGAAATGTCTCGATTACGATACATGGCAGGACTTCTCCACAGACAATCAGAATAAGAGGATGCTTTCGTACCATACTTTCAGAAGGATGGTCGATTCACTTTTGAATGAATCAGCTACAGATGCTGTTAATCTTCTCCGAACAGATTTTATTGGGTATCTCGGCGATATATCTATCACAGACATGGAACAACAGAGATTGGCAGACTTCCTAACTGCAGAAGGGGTGCTGATAAGACTTGATGGCAGTAACTACCGTATGGCCTCAGCATTCATTGACTCGTTTGTGAGGAGATATATTATTCCATCAAAATATCCCAACGCTCCTTCAGAGTCACCCCCAAAGAAAAGAGGAGGATCATTGGATATTCTAGAGATTATGAAGATTGCTCTTCGATTTTTCGATAAAGACTTGATTTTGCAGGCGGAAGATCGATCATACAAAAGTTCGGGGAGAACAGTTAAGGTTATGGGCGACTACAACGCCAGTGTCCCTCGAGAAAGCGTCTATGACACGGAATTGATGAGAGTTCTCACCAACTGGCTAAACAAAACAAAAAAATATGAGATCATTGGCTAGTGGCACCTCCGTGAGCGTGAGGACCACAAATATAGTGACATTGTCATCAAGAAAGCAGGAAAACCTACGGTTGTTATCGAGCTTTTGGCTACAGGGAATCAAACTTCTATTAAGGACCATATCAGCAAGACGCTAACTTACAAACGTTTACTCCCAGCAGAAGAAGCTTGGGTTGTTCATTTTACCTGTGAGGACGACTATTTTAAGCACCCATACTGGCAAACCGACGCGGAACTGGACCAAGGGGTGAATTTGGTGCATTTCTGGCACGATAGGAGTTTTAATACAGTGCGGATGAGTGCTCGCTGGAAGGACAGTAGTGGCAATACTCAAAGAATTGACAATGAGCTGTTGACTATCTAACAGCAATTCTATTTTTTTTTTACCCAACATTGTAAGGACGTCCCATTTTGTTGAGATAGGCTTTATAATTTTGCAGATCTGTTTAAATAGCTGTTACTTTGTATATTTCGCATTGATTGCATTAAAACACTCTCTCTTCATTAATGACAAACAATTTACTTTATGTATCTATACCTTAATCTATATTTATATATTAGTCAGAAAGGCTTCGGGTCGAGTTGGGTAACCTGGCTGTCACGTCACGAGCCTTATTGCGGGATCTATTTTGGGGCAAATGATATCTATTCAGCAACAAATGTCGATGCATGCGGAGCATGTTCTACCAAATTTGTCGTAAGGACATATTATCCATCGAGCCAGGACCATATATGTGGATCCAGAGCAGATTCCTTAAGACAGTATCATCGAGGTGAAATTAGTGGCTGTTGCTGCGTTCAGTCGATAGAACTTGTCGAACAGAATTGATGAAGACCAATTGCCTTGTACCACTACATCGTCGACACTGGCGCCTTGTTTAATGGCTTGGGTGGAACCAATAGCCCTGGCTTTGGGTAACTTGGAGCCATTTGGAAGAATGAGCTTGCTGCTTATGGCTGAGATATGATTGCTTATTCGATCAGCTCCCACGGGTTTTTTGAGGTCTCTGATATCTCGTATTAAAGGACGATATCGAATGCTTTGGTCCTTAGGGTGTGGTACGCTGATAGCGTGAGTCTCAATCCTTTTGAGATATTCGGTGAAGGTCATCACCGGGCAAAGGGAACTGTCGGTGTGATTCTTAACTGTGGTGTATTTGCATATCCTGCTGCCACCACGTGTTTCCTTGGGAATCAAAATTGGAAGGACTACAACGATGCCATCGATATGGAATTTGTCATTTGATAGATCGATACACATGATATCGTTTGGTCGGAGAAACCCACATGTACCGAGTAGCCAACACAGTTTTTGTGTGAGAATAAGGAGAGTGAGAGAACTGTTAGGCCCTAGTTGTTGTAAATATTCGACAGCGGGTTTGATGTCTATATTGAGTTCCTTTGTATGCTTGATCTCACGACGACGTAGAGTTTGGAAAAATAACAGAAAGTCCGGATCGTTGAATGCGCTCTTGTCGTCATACATATGAATGACTGCGGCTTTATATGCGTCCACCGTTGAAGCTGACCATCCGTGGATTGCGACTCCGGAGGCAAGCCAGTTACATAGTTGAGGTGGCTGTGGTACCATGGCGTCTACATTGCGTGCTGTGGCCCACTGAATATACCTGTCTTGTATCTTGGCGTATGCGCGTTGCTTGCGTTGTAACTCAGGACTGTCCACAACTATCGATGCCGTGGCTGGGTCGAAGCCTTTCGCTTCGAGTCGTCGCCTCTTACCCTCCAAGCGCATAATGACCAATGGGGATTTTTGGCCAGAATGTCTGGTGCGTTTCCCGGCGCTGGGAGAACTTGATGGCGAGGCATTGGTATTGGATGGTCCACTGTCATCATCTTGATTGTTGGATACCACATCGCCGAAGGCCAGTAAGGTGTCACTAAGGTTGCTTCTATCTTCTCCTCTCGGATTTTCTCCAATACTAGGGGGATGAGGTTCCACGGCGGGCATAAGTAAACGTTGCCGAATTGGCGCCAATGATGTTGAAGGGCGTTGTGCCCTATTGCTCCTGCAGTTGGTTTCCAGCTCATGAACTTCGTCACTTTGTTGTTTATTGGCGAGGCGAATAGATCGACGTGGTGAGGGCCCCATCGTCTTTGGAGCTTTTTGAAGAATTCTTTGTCGATGCTCCATTCTAGTTGTTCTGTCAGGCGCCGGGATGGGGCGTCTGCGGGGTTGAATGCTGAGGGCACGTAGGTTGTCTTGATCCTTGTCTCTGTTTTCAAGCACCATTCCCATATCGATGTCGCTAGCGTCATCAGTGCTGGAGATCGTGTCCCGCCGAAGTGGTTGATGTAAGCCATTGTCGTGATGTTGTCCGTTATCACGTTCACTGTGCGTCCCCTCACTTCTGGTTGTTTCAGGGCGTAGAAAATGGCCTGCATTTCCTTGTAATTGATGTGTCGTTCTCGAAGACTGTCTGACCAAGATCCCTTGATTGTCTGGTTGTTGATGACTACGCCCCATCCTGAATCCGATGCGTCGGTGTAAATGTCGACTTCTGGGTTGATTGCGATCCATGTCTTCCCATTCCATGATTTGAGATGTGTCCTCCACCAAAGGAGTTCCTCCGTTGCTTTGGTTGACAGAGATATTGAGCGTTCCCATGAGGGATCCAATTTCAATGCATGAATCTTGTCTGCCATGAGGTGCTGAACCTTGAGGCGAGCCGGAAAGACTGCGGCTGTCATTGCGCTCGCTTTGCCTATGAAGGATGATAGCTGACGGACTGTGCAGATCCCCTTGTTGGCCAGTTTGGACGCTTCTCGACGAATGTCCCGGATTTTCTTGCCCGGTACACTCAGGGTCATCGTCGTTGTATCTATCTCGAATCCCAGATGTTCCAGTATCTGTTTCGGTTGAAGACTCGACTTGGATTCCTTTGTCAAGAAACCTAGGCTCTTCAGTTTTGTCAAGACTAGTGCTGTTGCACGTTGGGATGATTCCTTGCTCGGTGCTGCGATTATCAGGCCGTCGAGGTAAGCTGATATTCTTATTCCTTTTGTTCGTGCCCATTGAAGTAGAGGCTTCAGTATCTTGGTGAAAATCAATGGTGCTAGGGAGAGTCCGAATGGTAGGACCTTGAATTGGTACAGTTGTTCCCTCCATTGGAATTGAAGATATTTTCGTGATGCTGGGTGTATCGGCACATGAAGAAATGCATCGCTCAGATCTATACTGGTAAGATAATCGTTTTTCTTTATTAGATTGCATACTTGATGGATTGTCTCCATCTTGAAGTGTTGTGTAGGTAAGTACTGGTTTAATGCTTTCAGGTTTAGGACAGGTCTTTCGTCTCCAGTCTTTTTGGGGATTGTGAAGAGCGGACTTGTAAATCCGGGTCCACTCGCGAATTCTATTGCACCCTTCGTTAGCAAAGCGGACACTTCGTTGTCCACACTCTTTGTCGCCTTCTCCGATAGCGGGTAAGGTGGAGGATGGGATGTTGAAATTGGGGGTGCGTTCAAGAGCGGGATAGAGTAACCTTCCTTGACTATCTCTAGGAGTGTTCGATCTTTTGTAACATTCCGCCATGCGTTTAAGAAGAGTGTGATTCTTCCCCCGACTTTCTCTCTTGTCGTCGGCGACTGCTGCTTCGGTCTCTCCGGCGGCTGTCTGATCTCCGGTAGCTGCTGTCCTTTCTTCGGCTGTTGCTGTCTCCTCGCCTGTAGTTGTTGTCCCCCCGTCTGTAATTGTTGTCCCCGTAAAAATAACGGCCTTCGTTGCTTTTGTTGCCAAATTTGTAGTTGTAAGACGAATTAGAGTTTGTCTTATTTTTTCTATCTGAACTACTGCTAGTTTGAAACTGTCGGGGGCTGAAAAAATTTTGTAAGGGTCTTAATCTCCTCCTGGAATTTAGTTGGATCCACAAGTTCCAATGATGTTTGCTTGTAGGTTGAGCCCATTGCGGCATGAAGATTTTCAAGTCGCATGTTGTTGATCCTGCCGATCGTACCAGTAATCTGTTCCTGCATAAGTGTGACAAAGGTGCCGCAAATGTCGGCGATGTCTTCGGTACCCATTTTATCATCGATTTCCATGGAAGTGGTTTGGTGAGCGAACAAATGTAGTGGGCGAGTAAGGTTGAGTAACCGTTTTTGTAGCGCTCGAAGTTGTTGATCATGATGTTTTTGATGGGTTTTAAGAGAAACAGCTGAAGGGAGCTTGGGAGGTTCATATGGCCAATGAATGTTTTTTGGAAATTGTCTGAACTGTTCCCAAAGCTCCTCGTCGGTAATGTCTTGTTGAAAGACGGAAGAAGGATCTTTTGGTTCCAAGAAGGGGAAGCGTTCGAGATCATCTTGTGTGGGCTTGTAAGTTTGAATGAGAGTAGGGGTCTCCATGGCTGGATCTTGTTCCTCCTTGGAGCGCTGAAGATCAGCGAATTGGCTAGCCAACGTAGCCAGTTGTTGTTGAAGTGAAGCGATGGTTTCATCTTGAGTGATAGACATAAGGGGAAGTAGCAGTAGTGATCTAAAATGAATGCGGATACGTTCCTGGCTCACTATCAAGAAGATGCAGATCCAACTTGGTAGCAGAGCAGATTTATATAGCTTATTTCTTTTATTTAAGGGTAGTTTTCTGAAAAGTTCGCTAAATTAGGCAATAAAAGAAGATAACACATATATGGTCCTGGCTCGATGGATAATATCAAAATCGCAGGCAGAGCATCTTTATTCCTCCTACCTTTCCGACAGACAACATAAACTAAAAGATAAAAAACGTCTTTTGCTGAAGGACGCTTTCGTTCGATGGAAAGAGAAAAGTGGAAACTCTTTTTGGTCATCATTTGTAACTGATTTACAGCAAAATGATATTTATCAAGGTAAATTACATTTCACTCATATACTTTTTTGAGACATGAATGTAAAAGATCTATTTGAGCAACATAAAATTAGGAAGCGTATGAAACTATGGAAGTACAAGGGACACGACTATTTTTTACGCTTCAAGACTTTCGTTCATTCTTCTCCCTTTTTCTGCAGCACTGGGAAAGGCTTCGCGGATCTTACTATCGCAAGAATCCGATACATCCTTGTTCTTACATTTTCTTGCAACCTATCGCAAAGAAGCATTCGTTGTCATTTCCTGAATTCGATTCTATCTGTTCTACGGTATTCAAACCGGATGTCATCACATTTGAAGATGTAACAAAAGCGCTGACTAAGTACGGAAGATTCGAAAACCCCACTTACCGATATCTGATGGAAACAGTATCATCATACTAAGTAAATTAGATGATTTATTTATAATATCAACAATTCTTTAAAAGTTTTCTTACCTTTTTTTTTTTTTTTTTTTTTTTTTTGGCCTTAGTGACCATCATTTTACCTTTACTGAGCGACTTCAAGGGACCCTTAGTGAAAGAGAAGCATTCTGCGACATCACTTGGAAC